GCTGCTGCCCTCTGCTCTCTTACACCTCTGTCCTGCCCACAGGCCCCTGGCTGCTGGAGCGAGGGTCCATCCTCCTCCCAACCCACAGCAGCATGACTCACCCACAGGGAATGATGGGGGCTCAAATAACCCCAGGCAGCTTCTAATGCAAACGTTAATAAGGCGCCGGGTGTACAATAACAACAAAGGTGGGCAGCTTGTTTGATAAATCATGGTCTTTTGAAGTCTGATCTTTCAGAAACCCCCCCAAACAGGCCCCCAGTGGGGAAGTGCAGGATAATGCCCAGCCCCTTCCAGCTGAGCTCACTGCTCACCCAGTCATTGCAGACCCTTCAGTGGCATTCCCACTCTGTAATTTTCCTGCTGCTGCCCCCACAGCCTGAGATCCAGACAGTAAGGAGGTGCTGGACCCCACCACCCCTGCGCCTTTCATGCTCTGCCATTCTCTCCCGTGGCTTCTACTGATGACACACTCACAGCTTAGCAACATCCAGGAAAGAAGAAAAATCCCTGGGTACTACTGGGGACACGGTGTCAGAGGGAGGATCCCCCTGTGGGTGCTCTGTGCTTTCTCACCCCCTGCTCCTGGTCACTGTCCCCAGCCCAGGCTGGGGTCCAATGGTGGAGCACGCTGTGGAATCAGAGAATCCCACAAAAATGGAATATCCTGAGCTGGAAAAGACCCACAAGAAGTCCAGCTTGTGTCTCTGCACAGACCCCCCAACAATCCCACCCTGGCATCCCTGGCAGCGCTGTCCAAAGGCTCCTGGAGCTCTGGCAGCCTCAGGGCTGTGCCCATTCCTGGGCAGCCTGGGCAGTGCCAGCAGCTCTGGGGATGAACCTGTCCCTAGTGTTAATGTCCTTCACATCACCCCTGCTGCAGGCCCCATCTCCTGCATCCTGCAGGACTCCCTGGGCAGCCTCGGGGCTGGGCAGGATGGGCCCTGAGCAGCTCGGGATGGCCCCACAGCAGCAGCTCTGCAGCACCCCAGCACCCACAGACACCCCTCAGGCTGTGCCCTCTCCATCACCAGGCTGCCCTTTGACAAAGCCAAGGCAGCCCTGGCTCCAGAGCCTGCCAATGACATGGTGTGGGATCAAGTGACAGGAGCAGTGTCCAGCAGGGACAGCCTCTGTCCAGCCCTGGAGTGGCTCCAGCAAAGCCTCAGCCTCAGGTGAGATCAAGGACAAGAAAGGAAAAATCAAGGGCAAAAAATATGTGTGGCAGCTAAATAGCAAGGGATTAAGTTTCCAGCCTTTCTTTAGGGGGAAAAATCCAACATTTATAAAGCTGGAAAAAAAGAAAATGGATCAAGCCAGTGTTGATGTCAAAGAAGGATTCAGTTGAGAATAGACTTGAAGGGAATTTTATTTATGGTGCAGCTACTGGGTGGGCATCTGTGACCTTTAGAAAATGGATTAAAGCCTTTCTATACCCAGCTCCAGGCTGTGTGAATTATTAAAGCAACAAAATCATGAAGTTGAAGCACTCGTACAAAGAAACCCAGACACAGCCAGCCCTCGCTGGGAGGGTCAGGGGAGCTGGGCACAGGGACCAGGACCCCCAGCTCCCCTGGAGCAAATGAAAGCCAGGCCCCCACAGGCTCCCACCCCAGCATACTGGTTCCCTCTGGAAGATTCCATTTCCTGCTGCTGCCCATTCCAGCCCCAGCCCTGGTTTAATCCCCTATTTCCAACGGCACACAAAGGCACAAATCCACGCTGAAAAACTTCAGACGTGTTCTTATTTCTTCTCAGCAGTGAAGTGTAAATAATGAATTCCCACAGCCCCATCCAGCTCCTCATCCCTTGGGAAAGGCAGCTGGGGCTGCAGAACCACGGGGGAAGCCAGGTGGGAGGGGGAGGTCAGGAGCAAACAGCCCCAGCTGCCTCACGGGGACTGAAGCCACAAGAGCCCAGCTAAACCAGGCAATGCAATGCCACCCCTGCCGTGGGACATCTCTGGTCTCATGCTGGCTCTCGAGAAGCACAACGAACCTCAGAGCATATTTCCCATGAAAACAGGGCCACAAACTGCACCGCATTCCAGAAACCCCCTCCTGGCTGCTGCTCCTTGGGAAATGGCATCAGAGCAGCCACAACCTGCGCAACTGCTGCTGCTGATGCTTGGAAAGGAGCCTGTGCTGCAGGAGGAACACTATGCTGATATTAAATCACTGAAAATCAAATAATATCACCTCTACTATGTGTGGAAAATATTCCACACTTGCTAATTGGTGCAAACATGGAATTGAACCTGACCTTCATTTGATTAACTGCATCTTAAAGCTGATTAAACCCATCTCTAGGAAACAGAAATTGCCCATTTATTGCAGATATGCCAGAACCACAGCTCTGGGGCTCTTCAAAAGGGATTTCTGAGCTCCTTTTCCCTTCCTTTCCTCCAGTTCCCACACTGAGGATGTCACCATCTGTCCTGAGAGGTGCACAAAGTGACTGTGGAAGGAAATGCTGTGCTCAAGGCCAGCCCAGGCACTGGCCCCAGGTCCTGTCACCATGGGATCACACAGCCACAGCTCCCACAGGTCACTCACACACTCAAACAGAGCACAGGGTCTGCTTGCACACTGGCTCCTAAATATCTTCCTGAACGTGGCCAGAGAGCGGTTTAATCAAGCAAACCAAGTCACTCCTAAACTTTTAGTAACACTTGCCAGGTAGGTAGTTTTATGGTTTCTGTGATTAAATGTGCGATGTAAATGACTTAGTAAACGCAAATGCTTTTCTCAGTGTCAGAGGAAATTCAGCATATTGACAAAGTCATCCAGAAAGATGACAGATGAATCATGTCAGCATTTTGTTGAAAGTGTGTGTAGAGTTCTGCTGCCTGATAGACTGCTCCATGCTAGACTTAGCCTTCCTGCACCACAGAGCACAGAGCGAGCAGCTGCAGGGAGCAGCCGCAGGGAGCAGCTCTCTGCAGAGCCAAGGCACTCCTGTCCTGGGACAAGAACTGGTTTTTCTGTTTTATGTTCTGAGCAGAATTAATTTTCCAGGTGCTGCTCCTTAACATAATAAAACCTCCTTGTCTGGAAAGTTTATATGTGAAGTATGAATCTTCTCCTATCAGCTCGAAACAAGCTGCTCTTTTTCACTGAGGTTTGGAGTTAGTGTTTGGTCTTTGATTGTGAGCTGAAGACACAAGACCTTGAGTGTTTCTGTTCTCACCAGGAGTGTCTGGGGAGACTTTCTTCTGCTGTTTGCCTTATCCACACAGCACAAGGGCTGAGCTGGTATTTAATCACTCGCCATCATTCAACAGAAGCCCAGCAATGTGACAGAGCTCTGCTGCACGCTTTCCCCTCTCCTTGCTCAAGGGATGTGGCTGCAAAGAGGGGTGAGTGTTTCAAACCACCCCCTCAAACCATCACAGTGACTTTCACACGGCTGGCAATCCCTTTCCATTACCCCAGAAGTCCCAGGCAGACTCTCATGGAAGCCCAGCAGGAATTCACGTGGGTGGGTTGTGCCAGAGCAGGGTAATGGATCTCCGGGTGCTCAGCAGGGAGCTGAGGCTGTATGGGAACATCTTCTCTAGAAGCAAGCACTGATGGCAGCACTGGGACCGAGTGTCCCCTGTCCTGCCTCTCAGAACAGCAGGACCCTCCCCATACAGACCACGGCTGATTTTGTCATGCCACCGTTACACAGCACCAAAACTGCTTAATACACATAAAGTATTCAAAAAGAGATTTCGGTAATTGGTAAATATTTGGGTTCTTCTGACCAAACAGGTCTCAGATCTCCTGGGAAAGTTCTGCTTTTGCAAAGTTTCCATCTTCCAGCCATCCAATCATCCAAGTATCCAAGGTCGGGCTGCTCCCCGGGCCATGGCCCAGTGGAACAAGACCTCGTCAGGCTGTACCACAGAGGGAGAAGGCAAAGGACAGTGTGGGTCATCTCCAGAGCCAGATCTGCATGTTCTCACCATCGTGGCATCAGATTTTGATCAAAGTGTGATGGGAGAAACCAGCCAAGATGACCTGACCAGAGGGAAACACGAGCAGGTGCAGCTTGCCCCACCACTCAGCTGTCCTGTTTATGTCCCAGGGCATGGGGACACCTGTGCCACCCACTGAGCCAGGCTGGGCCCTTCCACAGCTCTGACACTGCACATTTCACACACTTCCATGGCCATGTGTGCCCCCAAAGCCCCAGTGCTGGCACACAGCCCCACCCACACCTGAGTCACTGGGCTTGGGGTCAGCGCTGGCACTGCCGCTCCCAGCTCGCGCCCACCACACACAGGTGGGTGAGGCTGCACAGGGGCACCCGTGCTGCTGGCTGGCAGCAGAGCACAGGGACAGGAGCACTGCAGAGCTCCCGGTGCAGCCCCGTGCTCGTGTGACATCCCATGGGCACCGCGCTGGCACTGCCAGGCAGGGGCAAACGCCAGAGCCACCTGCACAGGGACAGAGGGCCAGCCAGAGGAACAGGGAATGGAAAGGACTGACACTGGGAAACCAACAGTAACCGACTCCAGAGATACACAGCTTTTTGATCATCACCTCCCACAGCCTCCCACATGCTTGGCAAGAAAAGCCAGTTAAAAATAAACAACAAAACCTCCTCAGCATAACTGATTTTTGATTGGGAAAACAGCCCAGAACTTCACAGAACCCTCCTGACCCGTGTGCCAGCTCAGTCAAGCATCAAGGACAACTTCCAGCATCTTCCTGCCTCACTGCCCCGCCACAACCCAGACATCCCCGCTGAAAACATAGAGAATGCTTGCTGTGAAATGGTCACAATGGTGCTGGTAACTTACAACACATCTGTTGCACCAAGGTGCCAAGGATTACAGCAAAGCCAAATGGCAACAAGGTATTTTTCCTGAACATTTTTCCTGTGTTGACTGAGCAGCCATCATAAAAAAATACAAAAATAGCCAATTTTGGCCCCATTACTGTTCCAATAAACCACAAGTACATAACAGCAGACACCTGATAAACCATGCAAGACTGAGAGCTCCAGCCTACCTTGCCAAAGCTTCCCTTCCCAATGGCCCGGAGAATCTGGAAGTGGTCAAAGTTCACTACAAGGTAAAGAAAAAAGAATTTACATTTGTAAATGCTTTACTACAAATAAGCTTGCATTTTAAAGGAGGCAGGGAGACAGCTACAGAGCATTGGCCAAGCTTTTATTAAAAGTTTTCCTCTGGGGAAGCTGCAGGACAGCAGCTGCTTTCCTTTCAAGTCTCTTCACGAGCTGGCAGAGGGTTGCATGAGGTTACTAAATGAGTGGTTTAGCACAAAGTAAAATATAGCTTTAACCTGTGTGGGTCTGGGGGAGATTCACAGAGCTCAGGGGCAAACTGAGAGTGTGGCTGAGTGGCGAGCATGGTGAGACCCTGCCCCATGCTGTGCCCTGCCCACTGCCCACTGCCCACTGCCCCAGCCCCACAAACACTGACTACTGCCCCACAGATGCTGCCCACTGCCCCACAAACACTGCCCACTGCCCGACAGATGCTGCCCACTGCCCCACAAACACTGCCCTGCCCCCTGTGCTCAGCCAGCGCTGGCTGTGCTGCAGTTGGTGCTGCCAAAGGGCAGCATTAGAGGACAGAGCCAGCCCTCCTCTCCCTTCACGTGCAGACCCATCTGGAAGACATCCATGGCTTTTTCCAGAGCCAGCGTGAGGAGCAATGACAAGAGATGATCGTGCAGCTGTAACACTCAGCCACTGACTCCATCAGCTGCTGCTGCAAACAAAATTATTTTTATACCAAAGCACTGCTGTGATTTAATTTAATATCAGTGTTAAATAAAGAAGACAAGGTGAGGAGGAGCTTGCTGATGGACTGAGCCCACCTGCTCAGATACAGCTGTCAGCCCTTGCCAGCTGTACCATGAGACCCTTCCCGTGCAGGGGACCCTCAGCACTCCTTGCCACAGGTCTGGATGAAAAGAAATGCTTGGCATGGGCTCGGGGTTTGCAGCGTGAGATGGTCAGCAATGAGCACTGAGCCTGTTGGCTGGCCACAGAGACCAAAATCACTCAGGAGGAGTGGGAACAAAGAATTCACTATAAATATTACGAGTCCCACTCCCAGATCTTAAATAAATGCACATCTGTCATCTCTGAGGATGAATCAAGAGCCCACGCATGCTCATGGAGTTCCTATTACCCTTTTGTGCTAGGCTTATATCCAAAATATTGTTATTGTCACTTTTGTGGGACGTTTTCTGCAGGAGAGCTCAGAAAACTTTGCCAAATGAAACTGAGAACAGAATCTGGGCCAGCTCGTACTCCGTGTGTCCCTGCACTCCCAGTTCCCTCCCTCGGGATGCTGAAGGGCAGAAGCACCACCACTGCTCCATGTTTAGCTGGTTTAGTTGGTTTAGCTCCATGTTTAGCTGGTTTAGTTGGTTTAGCTGACTGCGTGGTGATCAGCCAAAGGCTGCACTCCTTGCTCTTGGATAAGGCTCTTATTCCACCCTCAATGACTCTGTGATCCGCTCGAGATCTCTCCAGAGACCCCACAACAGAGCCCATGGGGACACCAGTGTCCCCACATCCACCAGTGTCACCTCCTCATCATCTCCCTCCTCTGTGGGCCTTTTGTTTCAGCAGTGATTTTATTGAGGATTTTCCTCCCTCTCCTACTAGAGGGGATGCAGTAGGCAATGCAAAACTGCAGCTTCAGCTTCACAAGTATTCTGTCTGAAATGTTCTGGCCAAAGCATTTGCAGCAATAGATCAAATGTTTTCCACGTGCAGCCAAGTCCACTGGCTGACCTCCTGTCACCAAAAGGATGCCCAGCCACAGGGAGCCTCTTGGAAGGGGGGCTTTTCTTGACAATTAAACCACATGCAAGTGCTCAGGATCTGCCATCACTCCAGGAGGAGAGCTTTTGGTAATTCTTTGTTATAATGTTTGGAATATTGTGTAAAAAGGCATTGCCTCTGAGGAAACAAACCCCAAAGTGTCATTTCCATGTATCCATGACTACAACTGATCTGGGAAGCCTGCTCGAGTCAGCAGGCAGGAAACAAACCTAGAAATGAATATTTACCAGGCCCTTGAACCTATCAGAAGAGATGTCACTTTTAATAAATTAATACAGAGTTCTGCTGACGGGAAGTTGGGATGATGCACTGCCTGGTTTCCCAGTTCCAGTATTTTCTGCAGCATTCAGGAGGCAATCTGATAATTCTGTGTAGGTAAACAATTCTATGATTACACGATCCCAATAAAGCAAAAGCAATCTCAGCATGTGAAGAAGAAAATCATAGTAGCAGTGTGCTGCTTTCTGTGCACAGCACAGTGGATTACTAATAATGTTAACTTCTCACTACGGAATACGTGATTATCCCCAAAATAGAAATGTGAACCTGCCTGGAACAAGTGCGTATGCTCCAGAGGCTCTGCTCCCGGGGCTGACAGGGGAAAGCTGTCATTCACCCGCAGCCAGCAGGGCTGCCTGACTCTGGGGCACCGCTACGAGCCTGAGTCACAGCCACAGCGGGGCCTTGGGTGGCAGGAGCAGAGGGGACAGCTGCTGCTCTGCCAGGCCCTGCTCGCCCCTGCTCTGCCTCTGCACAGCTCCAGCTCCAGGCCGGAGGGGCAGAAACAGCCCTGCCCTCAGGAGGGGCCAGGGTCACTCACAGGGACCTGGAAACCTGGGCCTTCAGGAACCATTTCTGTACAGAGGCTGCTCAAGCCTGCAACAGGCCTCCTGCAGCCATGGTCATGATCCAAGCCCGTCAGGGCTCAGGAGGCACTTGCACAATGCCCTTAATGGCATGCTTCAGCTTTGGGCACTCCTGAAGCACCAAACCCAGGGACTAGGTCAGTCTAGGTGAGTGGGACTAGTAGGTGCCTTACAATGGAAAATATTCTGTTCTTCTGTTCCATCGCATCCCATCGCATCCCATCGCATCGCATCCCATCCCATCCCATCCCATCCCCACCTGCAATGTGCAAACAGGAGGAGCTGGCTTGCCCCCCAGAGCCAGCCCATGGCCTCTGCAGTGTGCAGTGCCCCAGGGTGCTCCCTCAGCTCCTCACAGGAACAGGACACTCACTGTTCCAGCAGCTCCTCATCTCCATGGCACCTCGGCAGGGAGGGGAACCACAGGACAGGAGACGCTGGCATTTGCCATGTGCCGCTTCCCAGCTCTCCCTGGCACCAGTGACAAACCATGAATCACAAATAAAATAAATACCATAGCCTGGCTTTGCTGTGGCTCTGTTCTCCACTTCCAGGAATGC